GGGGCTTGATCCCGGGACTCCGGGATCATGACCTGAGCTGAAGGCAGACGCTTAACGACTGAGCAGCCCAGGCGCCCCCCGGTGTGTTCCTTCTTACGCCCGCCCGACAGCCAGTCCCTGCCCCCTGCTCACGGTGCACCTGTTTTCCCTTTCTCCTTTGCAGACCCTTCCGTCCCCCTGGATCCAATCTCCGTTTCTAACTCCTCGTCCCAGATTATTCTGAAGTGGAAGCCTCCCTCTGATCCCAATGGCAACATCACACACTACCTGGTTTTCTGGGAGAGGCAGGTAGAAGACAGTGAGCTGTATGAGCTGGATTACTGCCTCAAAGGTGAGTGCAGGTGGGTGTGTGGGAGCAGATGATCTGCTTTGTCCTGCTTCCAGGCAAGCATCTCCCCCCCCACCCCATGCTGGCTTCCCAGTGTAAATGTGGGGGCATGTGCCCACACACACCATCTTGTACCAAACCACACAGACCCATCTCTAAACATCACCGCCTCATGACACTCTGAAGACTCGTGTCAAAACCAGATAGTTCCATGTCTTAGCACCATTTCCATCTGAAATTTTCTCCCCCTCCCCCTTCCCCGCTGTGGGGATGCAGCTCTGTTAACCCGCTGAATTTGGGGGCTAAGCTAGGAGTTGAGAGGTTAATGACAAAGTCAGGAAAGAGTTTTAGCCCCTACATTTAGACCCTTAACGTTTTAAGGGTTGGAGGTAGCCAGGAGCGGTAATGCGTTCCCTTCTGTGTTTTCCATGAAAAATTTATACTAGAGATGATTCTCCTCCCCGCCGCCCCGTCTTTAATCTTGTTTACTTAACAGGCTTCATCCATTTGCAGGAAAACAGAAAATTCTCTGAGCCTCAATCTAGTTTGTATAAATTAGTTTACAATTTTAAAGCTGGATTTAAAAAAAACCCCATCAAACCGGAGGAAGAGATGTCATTTTTTTTCCTTTAGTTTTTTTTTTTGGTGTTGTTCGTTTGTGCTTTATGTTTGTCCGTATTTATTTTTCTTTAGATTGTTTTGAGTTAGCGATTTCCTCAGCCCTTGACCTTGGAAGCAAAGGCTCAGGGATTGCTGGTGAGGCGTGGCAAAGGCCTCGAGCCTGCGGGCGACTCTTGGCCGGACGTCTGACCTGCTGTAGGGCTTTGGGCAAGTCACCGGGCTTGTCACCAGCCGCCTCCTTTTCGGGAGAAGGGGCAGGAGGCCAGATGATCTCCGGGAGCTGTCCCAGCTCTAAGATCATGTGCTATATGTATGCCTGTGACCTCATTGCCCGCCTGAGCTGAGGCTTGCAAACGTGATTTATCTCTTCAGATGCTTTATATAACTCAAGAGCAAGCACAGGCCTCAGCTTAGCTGTGAGCTGTTGGCCCTGCATTCGAGTAACCGAAACCACCAGCTTGAACCACCACCAGCAACAGCCCTTGGTGCTTCCCTTTTTTTTTTTTTTTAAAGAGTAACAACTTCAATTCTGGAAGTCTAAATCTATCATTACAATGTGGCTATTTACACATGGCTTACTTTGTAATGATCGCAAAGTTTGTGGAATTGATAAATAAACTTACTAAGGACAGATATGGTACGATTCCACCCATAGGAGGTCCCCAGAGGAGTCCCGTCCACAGAGGCAGAAGGTAGATGGTGGGAGCCAGGGGTTGGGGAGCGGGAGGGGAGTCAGTGTTTCATGGGGACAGAGTCTCAGTTCGGGGAGATGAGAAAGTTCTGGAGATGGATGGTGGGGATGATTGCACAACAGTGTGAATGTACCTAATGCCACTGAGCTGTGCACTTAGAAATGATTAAGATGGTAAATTTTATGTTACGTGTATTTTACCACAATTTGAAAAACATACGCAAAATAAATAAGCTTACTCACTATGACTGGGAGTGGTTTCCCGTTAGTATCACTAGTAGGGTTTCTTTTCCCCCCAAGCTTTATTGAAATGTGGTTGAATTATAAGATATTGAAAGGTAAAACTGTAAGATACTGAAAGTGCCCATCGGGATGATTTTGATACACCTATATGCTGCAAAGCGGTTTCTCCCAGGTAGTGAGTGAGTTCATACATCTATCACTTGTATTGTGTGTGTGGGAACATTTAAGTTCGACTCCCTTAGCATATTTCAGTTCTAGAATACGGCGTTACCAATGCATTTTTAAAAATTGTGGTGAAATATATATAACATAAAATTGACTATCTTAATCATTTTTAAGCGCACAGCTCAGCGGCACGAAGCATGCTCACACTCTCGTGCAGCCATCCCCACCCTCCGTCTCCAGAACTTTCCATCTCCCCAAACTGAGACTCTGTCCCCATGAAGATGGACTCCCCACCCTCCACCCGACCCCCGGCTCCCACCGTCTCCTCTCTGTCTCTGTGGATGGGACTGTCTGAGGTGCCCCATTATCTATACTTTCACTGTGTAGTCACAGAAAAACCATGGGACACTATGTGCCCTGCGGTGGGGGCCAGAGAGGGTAACAGGAGTGAAGAACTGTGTGTGGCCTGATCAAAAGGTCCTTTCCTCTCCAAAAAATTCTTAGGATCCTCCCACACGAAGGAAACCCGACCTTTTTCTTCCACCCGTTATGCCATGACCAGTCCCTGTAATGGTTAACCCAGCCAGGTTAGTCTGTGTCTATTAATAAATGTTAGAAGTGTTTTTAAGAGACCCTTGTAGCCATTCACAGCTGTATAAATACTTGGGCTTCTGAGTGGATACTCACCATTCCCGGGAAGGTACTTAGAGCCCATTGTCTCCAGGACCCATTCAAGGGGAGAGGAAAAAAAAAATGCTCAGTAGCCCCTAGGAGGCTCCCAGCGCAAGGGCTGGTGGCGGGAAAGGTGAATCCCAGGGGCCTTCGTGAATTTTGCCCGATGAGAGTAGCGTTCATCCTCACAGTCGCACCCGAAGCATGTCTGTGGCCTGCACGATGGATGACAGGTGTCCCTGGGATTGGACTCGGGGGTCGCGACACGGCCAGCTTTGGCACTTAAAAAACAACTTTGTGTTTTTGAAAAATGTCTTCCCCCATCTCCCCTCGTGTCGTTAGTCCAGAGTTGCTCCACCTCAGCACTGTTGACATTTGGGGCCAGATCATTCTCTGCGGTGGGGCTGTCCTTTGCCTTGCCGGACGGTGAGCAACACCCTCGGCCTCACCCCCCAGGTGCCAGAATCTCCTCCACGCCCCAGAGTTCCTCACAGCCAGAATATCTCTTGCCCAGTGTCCGGGGGGTGGGGGACGGTGCAGAATCACCCCTCCCCCACCCCCGACCCCGGGGAAGAAGCACTGCTCTACTGATTTCTGGATTCCTGAGTGAACTGTAGATTCCTTAATTTGTAACCATTGGGTCTGTAGGTCGGACCCTTTATATGGCCTCCCGTTACTTTATATGGTTGGCTGGCTGATTGATTCATTCATACAACTGTCACCTGCCCCCTCAGCCTTTCTCTGATCCCACCTCCCATCGTCCCGTCCCTCATTCTGTCCTGCTCATTACTTTGGGTTCTTGGTGTCTTTTGGCATGCCAGGGAAATTCCTGCCTCAGGGACTTTGCACTTGCTTTTTGCTCCGTCTGAACTGCTTTACACCAAGATGTGTGCGTAGCTCATTCCTGCTCAGCAGTCACTTTCTCTGAAACCACCTCGTAAAAAGCATCAGCCCCAGACATCCTCTGTATGTTCATCCTGCGAGCTGACCCATGGTATATGTGTTTATGTTTCTTATGTAGCCCCCCCAATCCCCAGCCACTAGATTGTAGGTTCCATGAGGCCAAGACATACCTGGTTACCTTAGTCTCCAGTCCAATGGGGTTATGGTGTCTTCTAGTTTCTGGAACACCCTGACATGCACAGGTGTCCCATGTGCCCAGCCCCTCCGAGAAGACCCCCTTGGCGGCGTGCATGTTGCGGGCTCGGGGAGGATCCGAGGCCACCTGCTCTGCCTGTCTCTAGGGTTGAAGCTGCCCTCCCGGACCTGGTCTCCGCCGTTCGAGGCCGAGGGCTCCCAGAAGCACAACCAGAGTGAATACGAGGAGTCTGCCGGCGAATGTTGCTCCTGCCCCAAGACGGACTCTCAGATCCTCAAGGAGCTGGAGGAGTCCTCTTTTAGGAAGACCTTTGAGGATTACCTGCACAATGTGGTGTTCGTCCCCAGGTCAGGACTGTTCCTTGGCTCTGTGTGGAGGGGGCGGTCATTAGGGGAACAAGATGAAGAGGGGAGCCAGGGGGTGGGCGGGTAAAGGAGGAGATTCAATAGGAACCTTACCAGGAAGAGCAAATAAGCACTCCAAACGGGGACAAGTTAAAAAAAAAAAATAACAAAAAACAAAAAAAACCCGCAAACCCTCGACATTTGCTTTCCCACATGGCCCAAACTCTTTATCCCAGCCTGGGGCCTCCGTCTGCGTTCTTAAACGAGCTCCGTTAGATTTTGCGGCACACCCTGAGGAATGCCTACCTGGCCCCATGCTTGATTTATCTTGAAGTCTCAAGCTCAGAGCATTCTCTGTGATCATCCCGCCAACCTTCTTGTCCTTCTGGAAATTTCTACTGCATCTTCAAAACCCGGAGGCTTCTCCTGTTTAAATCTGTTGAGTTTCCTTTAGGAGGGAAGGGATGTGCTGATGTACACGGGCTCTGAGAGGGTTTGCAGGGAAGACGACCCCAGGCCACTCCTCTGTCGTTGCCTCTCCCAGAGGCAGAGACGCTCAGGTAAACGGCATGTGTCTCTCGCTGCCTTAGTTTACTTATCTGCCATGTGCAGATAATAATAGTTCTTGTTTCTTAGGATTGTGAGAGCATGTGAGTCACCCAGGCTTCACAGCCTTGACCCTGTGGACGTTTGGAACCAGCTCGTCCTCTGCTGTGGGGCTGTCCTGTGTAGGATGATGAGCCACATCCCTGCCTCCACCCACCCGACACCCCAGCGCTGTCTGCATCCTATTAGTTCATGAGTCTTTAGAGTAACCCACTGACGTAGCTGTCACCTCCCTTTCATGGGTCCAGAGCCGGTGTTTCTGAGCTGGCAAGGGATCCGACCCCGGATCCGGCTGCTGGTGAGGGGTGTGGGTTGTGAGACGCCTCCTATCCCGCCCCCTTACCGCCCTCAGCAGACGGGCCCCCCAGCAATGACTGATGCAATGCGCTGTCTCCGAAGTGGATCGAAACCCCAAAGGGTGACATTGGGATAAAATAAGATTTTAAAATGGGTCCCTTCAAATGCCTATCATCGCTTCTCATAAGAATAGACGTTTTCCCAGAACCATCGATGTGTGACATTTAAAAAAAAAAAATTTCTTTCTTGCGTTTTTTTCCCCCCGACCCTGAGTCCAAAAGAGCGCTAAATGTCAGAGCCCAGGCATGGAGGGTGGGGGGCAGTTACTGTTTTACCCGTTAAAAACAAAATGCTGCTGGACTTAAGGAAACGGCCGAGTCAGTTGTGATGTTTAAATGTAGTCAAGTTTGGCATCTGAGGGGGATACCCCAGCTGGCCAGGTCTCGGGGGAGGGGAGGGTATTTTCTCTGATTCTCCCCCCGCCCCCGCTGTGTTCTCTGCATCTGATGGAGATGATGTGATTCGGGGGGTGGGAGACGTGGTCCACAGTCGAGGGCAGGGCACCCTTGGGCCGCTCGGAGGGAATGTGGCTTCCAGGGTGTCAGAAGCCAGAGGTCTGTCTGAACGAGTTCTGTCTGTCCTCAAAGTGGTTGGTTTTGTTTTCACAGAAAATCCTCTTCAAGCCCTGGTGCTGAGGACACTAGGTACGACTCACCTGCAGGAGGTCTGCGTGGCCGCTGGGGGCTGCTCAGCGCAGGGCCGGCGGGCCAGGCAGGGCAGGAAGCATGCTGTGTGCCTTTGAGACTCCAGAGGCTTCCGTGGCCTTAATGCATGTGATGGGCTGCTCTGCAGATACCGGAGCCTTCACGAATTCATACGGGAACTGCCTTCACCCTCAAATGGGATCTGGGCACAAATCTGCACTAACACACTCTTACTAAAATGTAGAATCAAGGGGCGCCTGGCTGGCTCAGTCGGTGGAGCATGTGACTCTTGATCTCTGGGTCAGGAGTTCGAGCCCCACGTCGGGGTCAGAGTTTACTTAAGAAAAAAAATAGAACAGAAGGGGGTACTTTCTGGGCACCTCTTAGATGCCACGCATTCCCCGCCCTGCGTTCACCCTCTGAACATTTATTTAAACATTTGTTTATCGGCACCTACGGTGTGGGCCGGACTACGCCTGGACCCCACAGTCTGAGGCACGTGCAGCAGGTCTTGGGGGGAGCCTGATCTGCGAACAGAATGTTTTTATTTGGGGTGGCAAGTGCGGGGCTGCAGGCGTGTGAGCAAAGGCATGCCGTGTCGCTGAACTCCACTGAGGACAGGCGGGCTTTCCTTTGATTTGTGTCTTGAAGCTCCAAGGGGGCTTGTCCTGGAGGAGAGGACAGGCAGAGAGAGGCTGGGGAAAGGAAGGCCTTGGGATGAATCATGGGCCCCTGGGAGGAGCCAGAGGGGAGACGGCAAAGGCAGGTCAGGGCCACGTGGAGGGCTGCTACTCTCTCAGCAGAGGATTTGCTTCTTGGTTTTTCAGGCCTATTTGTGTGGCCCTGATCTGACCTCTAGTGGCCATTTGGAGTATAACCTGCAGAAAAGAAAGGCCTAGACATTTGCGGCTTGGGTCCATCCACATCGGGGTTTCTCAAATCCCAGACGTTTGACATTTAGGGCCACATCATTCTCAGTTGTGGGGCCCGCCCTGTGCATGGTAGGATCTTGAGCGGCATCTCTGGTCTCTGGTCTCACAATGCCAGTAGCTTACGTGTTCCCCCAAGTAGTGACAACCAAAAATGTCCCCAGACACGTCAGATGTTCCCCCATGGTGGGGGAGGGGCAGACTCACCCCTGGTTGAGGACCACTGGTTTGGTATGAGATTGTGGGGTGTGTAGGCAGCGGAGAATGTGGGAACCCCAAACGACAGATAGCGGGGGAGGGGGGTGACTGCATATACATTCGGCTTGTTTGATGAGACCTTTTCATGTTCCAGTTTTCATGTTTGGACACCCATTTCTCAGTAGTTTTTCCTGAGGCACCAGTGTCATGGTCATTTGGGAAAAGGCCCATTTATGCCTGGATGGAAATGTTCTGAATCTTGCTAACATGGGTCTGTCTTTGGTTTCCGTCCAAGAACGTCACTGGTCTTGCAGATGAAAAGACCAAACAAAAAATCTTAATGCATGTCCCCTGCCCATGTAGGGTTTTTCTTCTGACTACAGTGCAGTAGAAACTAAAAATTGACTTCAAACATTTGAACAGAAAAGTGCTCCCTGGTGATTTAAAGTTGATTGCTTTGATACCTTTTGGGAAAAACAGATGTGGAGACTTTCATTAAAGTCCATTTGGAAAATAGTGGGAATGAGAATATCATGTACCTTAAATTTGTAGAATATCGCCAAAGCTGGGCTTTGATGCTTTGATGCAAAATTAAATGATTTTGCTAGTTAAGAAAACAACCTAAAAAGGTAAAAATAGAAATGTATTGTGAGGGAGGGGAAATCGTTGAACTTGCAAATATAAGGATGAAAACCACAAATAACTAGAAGTAAAGCAGGTGATCTGAAACTAGGGTCGAAGAAAGATTTTAATGTTGAATTCGCTGGACAGTCTTGTGTTATTCAATTTGAAGCTTTCGGTGAGGAGGAAGGTTTTAATTTGATCTGATTCAAGATGAAGCATAAAAAAATAAATATTCTAATAACTTTGGTAAATGAGTAAAAATTACGTCCCAAAAAGGCCCTGGGCCCAGAGAATTTTATAGATGAGTTATTTCAAACTCTGTGATATAGAAACTTTTCTGAGCATAGAAATCTATGGAAATCTTTCCAGGTCATTTTATGAAACTAACATAACGTCCCTTAGCAGAACTTGATGTAGATGCTATATTGACAGAAACCCCAGGACCGGCTAAAATGAGACTTTAGATCCAAACGTCCTAAATGAAACAGTGTGCTGACAATATTGTTTCACTCAGAAGTACAAGGATGATTTATGATCAGGAGATAACGATAATTCATCAGGGGCCCAGTAAGGAAAATCATATGATAATCTCATGAGACAGTATTAATTAAAATTCCTAATTTAGGGAAATGAGCAAAAAAGAGGCCTTTTAGAAAAGCGGGAGTAGAATACTTCTGCTACAAGGTAAATAAATATTACCTAGATGAAACCGACAGCCAAGCTAACATTGTATTTAAACTGTCCCTGTTACATTGAGAAGGAAGCCCAGTGTCGTCGTTACTAATTAACATTTTCCTGGGTATCTAGCCAATGCAATAAGACACAAAATAGAAATTAGAATAGCAAAGAATGGATCGTGTGAAATAATGTCATGGATATTCGCAGATAGCCCAGTGCAAGGGTAGACGTGCTGTGGTGTTAACAGGCTCGACAGCCTGCTGCCCATTTTTTTGGTCAATGAAGTTTTATCGCAATGCAACCACTCCCATTTGTTTATATCTTTCAAGCTACAATAGTTGTAAAGCCATTGAAAGTTGAGTAGAGACAAAAAGTACTTGGTGACACAGGCCCTGCAAAATCCAAAATATTTACTTCCTACCATCGACAGGAAAAGTGTGCCGACTCTTTTTCTAGTGTGTTCCTTGGAAACCCAAGGATATCAACTATGAAGCTCTTAGAAGAGAGTTTGGGAAAGAAGGTACAATGCAAATAAACAAAAAGCCCAGTGATACACTAGCAATAGTTAGAATAGAAAACAGAGGAGACGATCCCTTTCGTAATTGCCATACCACCTTGGTAACCCCATGGAGAATTAACTGTATAGGAAAAAGTATAAACGTCTGCTGAGCTCCAAGATTGTCCAGATACATGTGAAAGACTGTTTTGAATCATTTATAGAAAACTCACTGGCAGTAGTGTTGATAACAGTGTTAATATCCTTGGTGAATAAACAGGGCAGCAGTAGGAACAGCGAGGAAAGCACTAGAACATCATAGAAACAGAGGAGAAAGATGGACACTTCCCTAGAGAAACACAAGGGACCAAGGAAGGAAAGACAAGCTCACACGGAATGGTCTTAAGAGATGCAAACAAAGCAACAGTGCCTTGTTTTTCAGTTAATCTTTTGGGCTGAAAATCTGCAAACAAACAAAACCCAAAAAACCCTGAGTACTGATGAGGTTACCCTGAGGTGCAGTTTCAGGGACTGCTGGTGAGAGCCCCCGGTCAGTAGAAAGGTCCCGCAGAGCAATTTCACTGTATGGATGAACAGGCACAGCCTAGCATTTTCCCTTCTAAGAGTCTAGTTTTAGGATCTAATAAGACAATCGGACAATGATCAAAGCGATATTTATAAGAGCAAAAAACCCTGGGGATACTCTTATGCAGACATCTTCAGAGGTCCTGTGGGCTCGGTTGCAGACCCACTGTTGTAAGACGAATATCGCAATAAAGCAGGTCGCCTGAAGTTTTTGCTTTCCCAGTGTGTATGAATGTTCTGTTGGAACCAGACTGTAGTCTACGAGGTGTGCCAAAACATTACGTCTAACAAACCAGTATACACACCTTAAAAAATACTGCTCCGAAATGCAGACCATCATCGGGGCTTTCAGTGAGTCATACTCACCGATCACAGATAGCTGTAACAAATAATGATAATAATGAGAAAGTTTGAAATAGCGTAAGAATCCCCAGAAAGGTGACCCAGAGACACACAGTGAGGAAATGCTGCTGGAAAACGGTGCTGGTAGATTTGGCCGATGTGGGGCGGCCACAAACCTTTGGTTTGTAAAACTGCAGGATCCGCAAAGCACAATAGAGCCAAGTGCAATAAAATGAGGTATGTCTGCATTAAATAAAATAGGAGGATGGTTAGTAATTTATGGCTCGTGCATTAAAATGAATATTTTCCAGTTTTCCAAGTTTTGTGCAGTGAGCATGTTTCCTTTTGTAACAGGGAGGGAAAAGCTTCACATTGAAAAAGACAAAACATAAATTCTGTGCTAAGTACTTAAGGCGCTACGTTTTAAGGAAGCTCTTTGGTGAATATTTCCAACAGAACAAGTGAACAAAGGATTACAAAGCTAGCTTGGTCCTCATACCTACACATAATATTTCTAGGAAAAAAAAATTGCCTCCAGGAAACAGAGGGCAGTGGAATGATGAGTCATTTAAATTTTCTCTCTGCTTTTTGTGTTTGCGTGTTTATAAGTTTTTAGGCTATTGCATTTATTTCTTAATTTCTTCTTAATTGGGGGGAATGTGTGTCGACTGCATTTTTTTTTTTTTTTGAGTTACCCTTACCAACCTGAGGGGTAAGATTTTTTTTTTTTAACCCAAGAACTGAAATTTAGTCACTACTATGATGCAGATGCCCTATATGGTCATAAGAATTAGAAGATGCATTTTACCTGTTTAGACAGATGTTGCTGGCCAGTAGTTTGGGATGCTGGGCTCGTGAAAAGCTGGACTCTGACATGCGTTAGGCATTTTGTCTTTAACGCTGACCCGGGGTGGCCGGTCAATCTGCAACACGACGACCTGAAATCAAGCATGTTGAGGGGAATATTGGTGTGTGTCCCCTGCCGATGGTCCTGGAGCCCCCTCCCCTCGAGGGCGTCCTGGGGAGCTGCTCTGGGTTGTAATTCCGGGCAACCTGCATTTAATCTGCGTGCCTCCTTGCATCCCCACCGCACCAGTCTTTGATTCCGAGCCTTTTATTCTCCAGCATTGTTTTTGTCTTAAAGACGGCGACCGCATGACCGTGTGTGTCCTGCTGTCGTGACAGGCCATCGCGGAAACGCCGGGCCCTCAGGGACGTTGCCAACGTGACGGCGGCCGCGCCCACGGTTCCGGGTTTCCCCAACACCTCGACCAGCGCGCCCACGAGCCCGGAGGAGCACAAGCCCTTCGAGAAAGTGGTGAACAAAGAATCCCTGGTCATCTCTGGGCTGCGCCACTTCACTGGCTATCGCATCGAGCTGCAGGCTTGCAACCAAGACTCCCCCGAGGAGAGGTGCAGCGTGGCAGCTTACGTGAGCGCCAGGACCATGCCCGAAGGTGGGTGGCCCCGTCGCGGTGCCAGGAGACCCGGGCGGACCGAGGGCCAGCCCTCCACCCGTTAGGCAGCGTAGATGTGTACTTGAACTTACCTGCCTTTGTCGTTTCTTATTTTTATTTGCGGCCGGCTTCACTGAGATCCCAGCTGACATATAACATTGTGTACATCCAAGGTGTACAGCGCGTCAATTTGATACGTGCACGTATTGCAGTGTGATTACCACCGTGGCGTTGGCTGCCACCTCCATCACGATACGTGGTGACTATTTCTTTTTTTGTAGCGAGAACGCTTAAGATCCACTCTCTGAGCACCTTCCAAGGGTATAGTAAAGTGTTATTAAGTGTAGTCAGCATGCTGTGCGTTAGATCGCTACAGCTTCTTCGTCTTCCAAGCTGGAAGTTAGTATCTTTGCATTACCCCCGCCCCCTCCAGCCCTTCCCGGCCCCAGGTAACCACCATTCTACTGTCTGTTACCTGTGAGTTCCACGTTTTTAGATTCCACATATCAGTGAGATCATACACGATTTGTCTTTCTCTGTCTGACTGATCTCCCTGAGCAGAATGCCCTTAGGGGCCATCCATATATGCCGGTATTACTGTTTGATTACACGAGTCATACGTAGCCAGTATATGAACTTTAGTAAAGACGCATGAGCCATGAGAAATACAAACTAAAATTAAGAAATACATATATGTATGGTATTAATCAGGGTTCTCCAGAGAAACAGAACCAGTGGGATATGAGATAAATGGACAGATGGATAGATAGGTATGTAGACGGTCCTATGAAGAAGTGAGTTTTACGTGTCCATTTTCCTTGTGGGAAAGTTACGCAAGCAGCTTGAGGTTGGTTGCTCGGCTGGTAGGTGGTGGAGGTGGTATTTGATCCAGGGGTCAAGCGCCGGCTTCTAAGCACTGCTCTTTACAGCCAAGGCAGATGACATTGTTGGCCCCGTGACCCACGAAATCTTCGAGAACAATGTCGTTCACCTGATGTGGCAGGAGCCAAAGGAACCCAACGGTCTGATCGTGCTGTATGAAGTGAGTTACCGGCGCTATGGTGATGAGGTAAGACCCCCTGATGCTCAGGTACATACCTCAGGGCTGTCGCTGGTACCCCCTCCCTCTTCTTAAATTCTGGCCCAAATACTTCTCCTATTAGCTACGTTGTCATTAGGACTCCACGCCTTGATTTATAACTTTCCAGGGATACAGGTGAGAAATTCCAGTCTGCAAACTTACTTATTTCCTCAGTTTCTCCCATTGCTTCTCACATTTCAGCTCCGTCCGACAAGATGAATGATGGCTGCCTGCATTTGTGTCCCCCCTGACATGACAGGAGACCCATTTCACTTTAGACAGAGTTCTCTGAGTCTGGGGAGAAATCACTTAAGATCTTAATAAGGAACTTTCTGTTTACTACCAGACACCGTGCGGGGTGGTGGGTGAACACAGAGATGCCCAAGATATGGCAGCTAAGAAGAACAAAAAAGGAGCCAAGCTGTCCTGAGGGGTCACTGTGTGTCTCGCACGTATGAAGCGCTGTGCACACATAGTCATATCTCATTTATCGTATTTTACCACGTCTAAGGCATGATAAGCGGCCCCATGATTTTTATGGACTGCTAAAAAAAAAAAAAGATGCTGCCAATTCTGAGTTGGTGTTGCTTCTAAGCTGCATTGCAATTTCAGAAATGCCAAAATGTGAAAATAATAAGCCTCTCAGGACCAATGAAGTGCAATAAATCTTCAGAATAACCCAGTGAGCTTGGTCCGGAGGCAGCCAGAATTTTTTTGTCCAGGATCCATAAGAATAAAGTCAGGATTCAAACCCAAGACTATCTGATGTTCTAATCCGAGGGTTGGCAACTGTTTTTTTCTGTCAAGGGCCAGATACTGAACATATCTGGCTTCCCAGCCGGATGGCCTCTGTTGCAAATACTTAACTCTGCTGTTGTAGCTCTGTATAATGGGTATGGTTGTGTGCCAATGAAACTTTTTTTTTTACAAAAACAAGCAGCAGGCTGGCATTGGCCAGCCCCCGCTCTAAGCCATGCCCGTAACTACTTTGGGGTGGATCTCCATCCCCAGAAGGGCTGGGGTCTGCTCCTGCCAGGAGAGGCGCCGGCCAGGGCTTGAATCCACCTGCGCACAATTCTCCCCTTGACCGTGTGACTTCAAGCAGATGAGTCGCATCACCTCCTTGGGTTTGACTGAGCCCTTTCCCTGTCCCAGACACAACCCTGAGTCCTTTGCAACCATCCGTTTGAACCTCTCAGTGACCCGACCAGGTGGGATCTGTTAGTGTCTCCTTTTTTGGCCAGGAGTACGGAGGAGCTGAGTGGACTTGCTCAGGGTCACACACCCAGCATCTTAAATCCAGACCTTTGCGCTCCCGAATCTACCGTCTGCAGTTGAGGGCGGTCACTTAAGTCAGAGGTCGTTTTCTGTAAATGGCCAGAGTGTTTAAGTTTTTAGTTTTGGGAGCCATAAAGTCAGGCTTGGGCATGAGGGTTTTTGTTTGTTTGTTTTATAATAACAGCTTTACTGTGACACATTCACATACCATAAAATACACCCATTTCAAATATACAATTTGGGCGCCTGGCTGGCTCATTCGGTGGAGCGTGCGACTCTTGGTCTTGGGGTTGTGAGTTCGAGCCCCACGTTGCGTGTAGAGATTACTCAAAAATAAAATCTTTACAATACAATAAAATAAAATACACAATTCAATGGTGAGTTTTTTTGTTAATTTTTTACAATTTTTAAGTATTCTCTACACCCAACGTGGGGCTCGAACTCACAACCCTGAGACCAAGAGTCGCACGCTCCACCGACTGAGCCAGCCAGGCGCCCCTATAATTCAATGTTTTTTTAATTCACAGAGTTGTGCGACCATCACCACATCAATTTCAGAGTATTTTCATCACCCTAAAAAGTCCCCCCACCTCCAATCTCCCCTGCCTCGTCTCCCTCCAGTCTCTGTCAACCACTAACCTACTTTCTGTCTCTGTGGATTTGCCTGTTCTCGATACTTCCTATGAATGAATCGTACAATACATGGTCCTTCTGTTGCTGGCTTCTGTCATTATCATAATGTCTCCAAGGTCCATCCACGTGGCGGTGCATGTCCACGCTTCCTTCCTTTTCACGGCTGAGAAATATTCCAGCATGTGGATGGACCACATTTTGTTACCACTCACGCGTAGACGGACATTTGGGTCATTTTCACCTTCTGGCCGTTGTGAGTAATGCTGCTTAGAGCATTCGCGTGCAAGTGTTTGTGCAGACGCATGGTTTCAGTTCTCCTGGGTGCATATCAAGGGATGGAGCTCCTGGGTCCTGTGCCAACTCTTTTAAGGAAATGCCCACTCTTTCCCCAAGGGGCTGCACCATTTTATATCCCCACCAGTAGCGTCTGAGGGTTCCAGTTACTCCACATGGTCGCCGACACATGTTCTAGGCCGTCTCTGGTTAGAGCCATACTGGTGGGTGTGAGTGGTATCACACTGTGGTCTGGATGTGCATTTTCCTGATGGCTCATTTGGTCTCGAGTTTTGTGCCTTTCCCTGAACCCATGGGACTCTTCAGCTTCAGGCAGCTTCGGGCAATTTAGCGTTAGCCCTGGAACCGGGGTGGGGTTAAGGATGGGAGGCAGAGAGGAGGGGCAGCTTCCAAAGGAAGTTTGGGATGTTGTGGGCAGCAAGGAAGAGAATATGGATTCTGGGCAGTGAGCATCACATTTCCACTACAGACCCTCCTTGGTTTTATTCCTGCTGCTGTGACCAACTCTTTCCCATTTGCCTGGAATTTGCCAGTGTTGAGCACTGAAGTCCTACATCCTAGGAATCCCTCGGTTCTGGGTAAACTGGGACAGTTGGTTACCCTATTGGCATTGGACCTAACCCTAAATTCTCCCAGCTGCCTTCGGCTGGACTGCCTCCCCCATTCCTGGAGCCCACGGGTCACCGGTAGGAATCCCCACTAGAGCCTCTGCCCCACATGGTCCAGCACCAATCCCAGATAGACTGGCCCTATTTGCCCTTTAGGGGAACAGAGACTTAGGGGGGGAGGGAACGGGAGAGAGTGAGAGATTATAATCACCTTTTAAAAAAACCTTTTCATAGATAAGATGGCCGATCATCTCCATTTTCCTTTATTGCCTAGCATTGCTTTGATGAAGAAAATAATGTAAAAAAGATTTTTTTTGTATACACCATTAGTACTGTTGTTATGATTTTGCCAGTTCTACAAAATTCTCTCCAGCATTTGGTGGGAGGTCTTCTTCTTTTTCTTCTTCTTCTTTTTTTTTTTTGGTATTTGTTAGGCTGATAGCTGAAATCACTTCTAGCTGCATCACTTTTGCATCTCTCTCTCCTCGAACCTCACGTTCAAGTCATTTGCCCTCCTACTTCGTCCCCTCTCTGCCCAGAAGACCCGGACCGCCCCCTTCCCTGGAAGGAGCATCGCTTTTTAATTTTGGTGTACTCCTAAGCTTTGCTTCAGCGTCTTTCATGGTTTTGAGCTTCTGTCTTGTTGGCACAAACTTTCATATAATTGGCTTCTTTACGCTTAGGTTTCGCTTCTCGTTTTGCTTTTCGTTTTTGTTTTTCGGTGTCTGTGGAGACAGCTGCCTCAGGGTCTAGTTCCTTCTGTTCATGCTCCCTTCCCTCTCCTTTGCCCCTTGAGGTGTGTGGGGTGCTTGGCCGGCCTTGGAGGATGCATTTCCCCTTTGTCTCCGATAGCAGCTACCTTCGGTTTCTATATTTGCTTATTTGTCCCTTTCTACTTGGTGACTCATCCGACTTGGATGAACCTTTGGACCAGAGCCCCCACCCCCTGCTGCCAGCCCGATCCAGCCCGATCTGTTTTCTTGCTGTTATTGTCACATGATGAGCACGGGAGTTTTTACATTTCTTTCTCTGCCCACTAAAATTTTCCAGTCCAGCTCTCTGCATGCACTATAAACTTGGAGCTGTTTTGGAAAGTTTTTAAAATTTGGCCCGACGTGTGCAGGGTTCATGGTCCCACTTCCCAGTGAGCCTCTTGCCTCTCCTACTAAGGTCTGGGTTGATCTCTGTTTACACGGTGATCACTGGGGTGTGTGCGCTTTACTTATCTCCTCTCTGTTTTCAGAGATTGAGGTAGGTCCCAACTCTTTTTCAGAATGGTCAAGTAAATCGAATCAAAACAAAAGGCTGCACCAGGGGAAGGAAGGAGCTTTAAAATTTGTCCTTAAGACATTAAGCCCATGCATATGTAAGCCCATACATGTGTTTGGTTCTGAGGCCAGGAGGTGTGTGTGGGGGCAAAGCCTGAAATTTGATTTAGGTCATGTGGGGCTCTTCTTTCCTGTCCTTCTGGGACTTTCTAGAGGCCTGGTGACAAGGCCTCACAGTGGTTCCAAAAAGGCTGGGAGCCAGATGGTTCTGGATTCAAGGGTGGTTGGCCCAGCCACTTAACCAGCTAGGAGCCCTCCAACCAACCGTCTCGTCTCTTCAACCAGGGGTCGGCAAAGTATTTTTGTACTCCTGTTCTTGTACAGCTTGAGCTCTAAGGATCGCTTTCATATCTTAAAATGGCTGGAGAGAAAAAAAAAATTCAAAACGTCGAGAGAAGAACAGTGTCACGACACGTGTCAGCTTAACGTGGAGTTCAGCGTTCAGCGTCCACGACGCTCCGTGGGCACATGGCCACGTCCGTTTGTGGACGGATGTTACGGATTTGGGCTTGGTCCCCGGCTGCTTTCGCGCTGCCACAGCAGAGCTGAGTGGGTCACAGTGACCGTCCGGCCCCCTTGACAGCGAAGGTTCGCGGACCTCCGCCCCGGGCCCCCAGTATGAGGCCGAGCCCCAGTGGGGTCGTCATAGGAAGCAAATGAGCCGATCCAGGGCGAATGCTTGGCTTGCGGTTTAGGAAGGGTTGGCTGTTATCAGTGATGACAGCCTCCACGTCCGCATCCTTCCCCGGAGAGCGAGCGTGCGGAAATTCTGACAGTCCTGATGCGGCTCGAGCGCGTGGTGCCCTGATCGCGCCTTCCTTCCAGGGATGGACGCTCCCGAGTGGCGAAGAAGGACCCCCCACACCCTCCCCCTCTCCTCCCCTTGTCTTGCAGGAGCTGCACCTCTGTGTCTCCCGCAGACATTTTGCTCTGGAGCGGGGCTGCAGGCTGCGTGGGCTGCCGCCGGGGAATTACAGCGTGCGAGTCCGGGCCACCTCCCTGGCGGGCAACGGCTCGTGGACAGAAGCCACCTATTTCTACGTGACAGACTATTGTAAGTCTGCGCTTGGGGCTGGGCGTGGCAGGACACTGCAGAGGATGGCCGGGGAAGCTCGGAGGCTGTGCCCGCGGGCCCTGGACTTGACCTCCGGTTCTGCTGGCTGCTGCTGTGTGACCTGGGCAGTGTGCTTGACCTCTCTGAGCCTGTACGTTCATCTGACCATGGGGATAATTATAGGAATACCCCCTCTCCCCGCCCCGCCTTGGAGGTGAAAGGAGGTTTCAGTGACATTATGAAGGTCAAGTGGCTGGCCCAGGGCACGTCTGATGAACACATTAGCTCCTGTTACTAGTGTCCTGATACTGATTTTTGATGGGTTGTGCCCTCCAAGGGAGGACACGGGAGCTTGCTTGCTGAGTCTCAGATGTGCTCTTGATATGCAGGCAGTGAATGCTGCCGTTGGGTGAGCAAGACACGCTGTGGACAGTAGGGTGGGCGGCTGGGAAGGCTGAACTGGTCAGGGAAGGCTTCCTGGAGGAGGTGCATCTTGACTGAGACCCAGAAGAATATACAAGCGGGGACAAAAGAAGACGGTCATCCTGGCATGTGGCAGGAGCCTAGACACTTGAATGAGTGAACAAATGACTTGGAAGGAGGGGAGATTCTAGACCAGGAGGAGTGGGAGCTTAGGTGGGAGGGGGTGAGACAAGGCTCCTGCTTGGCCGGCTAGATTTTCACATACCAGGCCTGGTGGGACTTGGGAAAGTGGGAAGTGATTCTTCTCTGGTGTCTGGACACCAGCTGGGTGTGTGACACCACGGTTCTGATGCCGCCTTGGGGTGAGCACAGACCCTGCCAAGTTAGGAGCACGGTTCCCAGCAAGACGGCCCTCACTTCAGATGCCAGATGCAAGTTGGGGGTTCTCCAAGCCCCCCACACTTCTGACCAACTGGCAACAAACTCAGGGGTTCCCACGACCCCCCTCAGATTCAGTCATTTGCTCGATCAGCTCACAGAGCTCAGGAAAGTGCTATATTACAATGACGGTGTTATTGTAAAGGCTATCAGTCGGGACCACCCAAGTGAAGAGACACCCAGGGGAGGGTCGGGAGGGTCCAGGACACTGAGCACCTGTGTCTTCTCCCAGTGGAATCAGGACGTGTGGCGACGCCTTCCCCGCATACCCATGTGTTTACCAGCCAGCAAGCTCCTCTGAGCTTTGGTGTCCAGGGTGTCACTCTCTAGGCATTGCTGATCACATCGTTGGCTGTGTGATGGAACTCCCTCTGCAGCCCCTCTGCTCTCTGGAGGTCAGGCTGGCGCAGGCCCCAACCTTCCAATCACGTGTGTGGTCTGCTGGTGACCAGCCCCCATCCTGGGTCATCTCATCCCATAGCATAAGCTCAGGTTGTGTTCCAAGGGGCTCGTCAATAACAAAGACACTCTTATTACCCAGGATATTTCAAGGATTTGGAATCTCTCTCTCAAAAACCAGGGATGCCGTGAATAAAATTCCAAGGAAAATATCAAAGTGGGAAAAACATTGGTGATATCATTGACAAAGAGTTAATATCCTTGATATAAAATGAAGATATATGTGTAGGACATGAATAGAAGATATATATAAATCATAACACAAGGATAGGCAAAGAACATAAATAGCCAATTTAAAATGAAATACAAAGATAAAAAACATAAGAAAAAAAGTCCAACCTCAAAGCCACACCAAAAAAAAAAAAAAAAGAAGAAGCAAATTAAAATGAGATGTGATTTTTAACTTATCGAATTGGCAAGGCTTTTGTTTCTGTTTAATTATAGTACTTAGTGTTATTCAAATTACAGACACATGGACTTTTTTTTCATGGCTGGTGAGTGCTAAAATATAGTACTTTATTTTTGAAAAGATTTTTATTTGAGAGAGCAAGCAAGAGAGAGAGCATGAACTTGAGGGGAGGGGCAGAGGCAGAGGGAGAAGCAGGCTTCCCGCTGAGCAGGGAGCCCGGTGCTGGGCTCCATCCCAGGATCCTGAGATCATGATCTAAGCTGAAGGCAGATGCTTGACCGACTGAGCCACCTAGGTGCCCCTAAAATTTACTACTTTTATAATATGTATCAAACATAAAGGATCTTACTATGTGAACCGACAATTCTGGTTCTAGAAATTTATCCTGAGGAAATGATCAGAGATGTCCAAAAAAGATACATGTTCAAGGAAATGCAGCCCAGCATTAGCAAAGATAGCAAAAAGTCTGGAGAATTAAAACAATTCTTTATTTTGCAGCAGGGAGGCAGGCAGGGCACCCAAGGTGCAAATCTGAAGGAGGCACTCACCCCCAGGGGCTGACCCTGCATCTCCATGACTCAGAGGAAGAGTCCTCAAATTTTGCACCCTGGTGCTTCCCTTTCTTCACCCTGGTTCCATGGCCACGGGAATCGGTGGCGTGAGCAGGACTGTGGGGTCTGGGAAGCCGAGACGGGGTGTGGGGGGTGAAGCCTGGCTCTCAGATTGTGTCCCCAGACCCGCTAAGTCCTGGCAACTTGGTGACCTCCAGCTTCCCTGCTCCTGAGGAAGAAGGGACAAGGAGGAGGGACATGCAGACAACTGCATGTGGCCATAGGTTTCCTTTTCTCATGTCCCATTCAACCACCAAATATTTACAGTCTTTCTGTGGCCAGGAGCTGCCGGGGAGGGGGAGGAGGCAGTTTCCTGTCATTCAGGAGGGTGTCTCAGGGTGCCCTCCGTGGCCTTGGCCAAGCACTTCTTCAGATGGCCCCGCTTGAAATCCCTGCTCCACCAGGGGTCAGTTGTGGGATTTGGGGCAAGACTCCTCCAGTCTCTGAACCTCTTTCCCCAGTCTGTTAACTGGTCTTAGTCATGGTCCCTCCCACCTTGGCTTATGTGACGATTAAGTAAAACCAACCAGCACAGAGCACTTCAAATAGCGCCTGGTGTTTTCCTAAGTGTTTGGTAAACCGCTGTTGATAGGAAAGACCTTAGGGACCAGGGACCAGGTTCCCTCCGGGATTCCTTAGAACCCATTTTCCTCCTTGGCTTCGGAGAGTCTGAATACACAGGCATGTTTATAAATGCAGACAACTTGGCCTTACATGCAAATTTTTAAAAAATGAGGGCTCCACAGCATTTCTTCGGTGAATTTAAAAGGATTTTTTTGAGGGGAGGACCGCCTAGCACACAGGGCCCTTCCTGGCGAATTTTTCATCTGTGAGAGGTGCTGTTGGGATTAATTTGCAGGACCCCCTGCAAGATGAAAATACAGGTCCCCTTGTTTAAAAGTTATTAAGACTCTTTTTTAAGATTTTATTTATTTGAAAGAGCAAGAGAGCGCGAGTGGCGGGGGGAAGGGACAGAGGGAGAGGGAGAAGCAGGCTTCCCGATGAGCAGGGAGCCCGATGTGGGGCTCGATCCCAGGACCCAGGGATCAGACCTGAGCCAAAGGCAGACGTTTAACCGACTGAGCCACCCAGGTGCCCCTAAAAATTATTAAGACTTTCAAGATGGTGACAGTGGAGTGTTAGGGATGAGGGCCCTTCCAAGTGTGGGGACTTGGGCGATGGCCTGGGTTGCGTGCCTGTGAGCTGGCCCTGGGGGGGGCGGGTGGGAGAAGGCTGACAGTAGGCAGTGGTGTGGGGGTCAGGGCCTCTGAGCCTGGCGCCCAGCCCTGTGGAGCAAGCTGGTGTTTTAGGACTGCTGGAAAAGAGGGGCCGGGGAGACCAGGGGAGAGGCTCGGGGACAAGAGAAGGGGCAGGTGCGTGTGGCCCTTCATTATAGGTACAGGTGTGATTTGTGATAGGAACACATTTTGATGTGAACCATTTATTTTCTTATTCTATTTCAGTAGATGTCCCGTCGAATATTGCAAAAATCATCATCGGCCCCCTCATCTTTGTCTTTCTCTTCAGTGTTGTGATTGGAAGTATCTACCTGTTCCTGAGAAAGAGGTGGGTGCAGTGGTGTGCTGGTAGATGGTTAAAGACTGGCTCTCCAGGAAAGAAAGTATGCCTTGATCTAGAGACAGCTGTTAGCTAAGTTTATTATAAATTGGACTGACATAAGGGATGGGAATAGCACGCAATGTACAGGTAATGATCATAATACCATTTGTAACACTCTATCCTAAATTCCCCCTAGCTCGTTATTCTCACCAAATGTTTTGGTTGATTTTTCTTCCCCCCCCGCCGTGAACCTTTGTATCTACAGCCAACCTGTGGTGGCAAGTGATGAATGAGCATAGCTCGACCTGAATGTTCATTGATACTTTGTTTTCATTAAAGAGCAAGGTAAAAATGAACTAAGATGTGTAGATTCATCAAGGAAGAAGTGACTTCGCTCAGTCACGTAGTAACTCTTAGATGCTGGAGGAACATTTTCTCAAATTTTTTTTTTTTTTTTGCCATTTGCAAATCATGGCCACAGAGATGACATCCTTTTTTGTTGTTGTTGTTTAAGATTTATTTATTTTAGAGAGCGAGAGCAAGAGAGAGAGAGAGAGCAGGGGGTGGGGCAGAGGAAGAGAGAATCCCAAGCAGACTCCATGCTGAGCACAGAGCCCGATGCGGGGCTTGATCCCAGGACCCTGAGATCATGACCTGAGCCGAAATCAAGAGTCGGCCGCTTCACTGACTGAGCCCCACCGGCGCCCCGAAATGACACACTTTTAAGCTTATTCTGCTTTGTTAACATTTTTTGCCATCCTTTTCTCAAGCCTGGACAGACAACAGAACAATAGATCAAGTCTTGGTTTGTACCGTTCCCGTTTCTTTCTATGATGTAAATATTCCTACTGTGGCCAATTTCCAGCTACAGACATACCACTGATGATAGTAAGAAGCAAAATGATAATTAGGAAGTGGTGAGTTTTGCTTTCAATGTCATTTTGTTTAATCGTAAGCCTATGTCATTTAATTTTGGACGATGGCTCTATTAATAACCTGCTCTCAGATTTCCTGAAAACTTAGCAGTTGTTTCTCAGGAGCTGGGCTGAGAACAGCAAAGGGCGAGTGGCTTGTAGGTATTACACGGACAGCCACAGATTACAGTGTAGGGTCCCATGTTGATGTGCGTAAGTAGCCGTCTGATGGGCTTCTACTCCTAACACCCCAGGATCCAGGGGTGTTATCCAGGATCACGTGGATGCTGCTGCTAAGGGTTGTCATTGGCACTGGGGAGCTTGTGACCCCCCCGTGTGAGTGACCCAGAGCCCCGTGAGAATATCCAGCTGGAATGTCTGCCTCTTTCTCTTCCAGGCAGCCGGATGGGCCACTGGGACCGCTGTACGCGTCTTCAAACCCCGAGTACCTCAGTGCCAGTGACGGTGAGTCCCATCCCCGTGCCCCTGGGTTGCCAGAATCCTGCCTTTTGGGGTCCCTGGCCGTCACTGTCAAGTGCAAGTCCGGGGCTGGCCCCCGGGGAGGCTGAGATGAGCCCTCTGGTTCATGTGAGCTCGCAGACCTGCCCCTTGCTGCAGAGACCGAGTTACTGAGAGCATCCAGACAGCCGCTGTCTGGCACCTGTTTGGACGGGCTGGTCTAGCTGGTCTGGGACCCGTGAGCTGGGCTGGGAGGCTGACAGAGAGTCCGGTGTCCCAGCTGTTGGGGGCCGGGGGTGGAATTGGGACCTGGGCCAGAAACCCACACCGAGGGTCAGAGCCAGAGGGCCGCGTATGGACTCGCCATCCAGGTTGGGGGTCGGGAGCCAAAATGAGACACTGCGGATAAGGGGCGGGGAAGACAAGAGTGAAGGGTAAGATGGGGTCCACAGGAGGCTGTGTGGACTGAAACCTGTATTTCCCCTGATTGTACACTGAGCGGCCCCTGCAGATGAGGCTCTCCTTCCGAGGAGAAAGCGTCTGCCACGTTACAAGTTTCCAAAGTCCTTCACGCAGCAGAAACCAAAAAGTGACTTCCGAGGCATGAACGCTGTTGCCTGGCAGGATGCTGCCATGGGATATGGGGGTGATGTTTTTAGGGACACCCAGGATTTGTTTTCATCAGGTCCGATAGGGGAGTGTGGGAGAAGGTGGACAAGAGCTTTTATTGTGGTGTCCTTGGGAAGGCAAGGCAAGGCGGGGTAAGACCAAGGACTCGCTGTCTTGAATGATTTCAGTGGGTTCTGGGGTGTAGGGGCTGGCTCTAGGGTGATCGGCCCCCCTGGGCGGGGTTACGGCTTGGGCTCTGGATCGGTGGTTTTGTAGGTAGAAGGTGCTCTCACAGGCAAGTCATTTACTGTCTCTAGGGATTGGCCGCCCTTGGGAGGGGCAGTCCCTCCAAGGTCATCGAGGCCCCAGATGCTAAAGCATCAGAATAGGGAAACTAGGAGAGGTGGGTCTTCCAGGTGGGAATTGTGCAGGGAACAGGAGCGGGAGGAAGTGAACATGGATGGGGGCGCCTCCTCCCCCAGGGATGGCATTGTTAGCCCACTTCGGAGGTGGGGAAGCTGAACCTCAGGGCTGCCACTGGACCCCATGGTAAGGGGTGAGGCCAGGATGGTTGTGCAGGGCTGCTCCTGCGCCCTACCACCCTGCTTCCTTCTGGGAATGCAGGAGCGGCTGAGGGCACGGGGTGCCCGGTGAAAGCTGGAAATTGGACCTCACGGGTCTCTAAGGCTGGGAGGGCCTGGGCCAAAGGGAACGCACAGGGAAAGATCCAGGCTTGGAGTCCCGGGGGACAGGGTATCCCCACTGAGCATCTGTGTGTGCTCATCTGCCTGAGGCCCTGGTGACCGAATCAGTTTGCTGGGGCTCCTGTAACAAACACTATGGACCGGATGGCTTAGCAAACAGAATTTTGTTTCCTCACGGTTCTGGAAGCTGGGAGTCTGAGATCAAGGCGTCAGGAGGGTTGGTTTCTTCTGAGGCCTCTCTCCTTGGGCTGTGGACGACTGTGTTCTCCCCAGGTCCTCACATGGTCAGCCTTGTGTGCATGTCTGTGTCTGAATGTCCTCTTCTTAAAAGGACACCAGTCATATGGGATTAGAGCCACCCCACTGACTTCATTTGAACTTGATTGCCTCTGGAATGGCCCTGTCTTTAAATACATTCTGAGGTACCAGGATTAAGACTTCAACATAAGTTCTGGGGGGATGGGGGCACAGTTGAGCCCCCCTTCTGAGGAAAGCAAGAACCATTTTGGATTTTCTTATGAGGCCTTTGTGCATTCGTCTGCAAATTTGTTTGCTGTGTAGCGAACCACCCCAAAGTTAGTGGCTTGAAACAACCAGCATTTCAATTCGGTGGGTCTGCCACCTGGGATCTGCTCGGCTGGGCAGACCTTTTGATCTCGCCGGGGCTCATTCACATGGCTATGGGCTGCCTGCCGATCAGCTGGTGCTGGGTAGTCTCGGATGGGCTCACTGGTATGGCCAGCAGTTGGCAGGCTGGCTGGTCTCCCATCCCCTTGGCACTTTGCAGAAACAACAGCCTCAGATGGGAAGTAGTGTTGTGGGGTGGCGGGGCTCTGAAATCAGATAGAAAGGACGAGGAGGCAGGCTCAGCTCGGCACGTACCGGCCAGAACCCTGGACTGGTGGTGGCTCCTTCCCAGGCCTCTGCTGTCCCCTCCATGAAAGACAGGGACCCACGCCTGTCCTGTTCTCGGCTCTGCACCCAGTGCCTGGCACAAGTCCTGGACCACAGAAGTCCCTTAATGAACATTCGCCAGTGGGAGGGCCCCGGTGGGAGGTGGCTGGGGGTCCCTCCCGGGGGTCCGCCGAGGACGCTGTGTAGATAAATGAGGAGTAGTCTTCCCATGTTCTGTGTATGTGCCGGACGAGTGGGAGGTGCCTCGGGAGAAGATCACGCTCCTGCGTGAGCTGGGGCAGGGCTCCTTCGGCATGGTGTACGAAGGCAACGCGAGGGACATTGTCAAGGGCGAGGCGGAGACCCGCGTGGCGGTGAAGACGGTCAACGAGTCGGCCAGTTTGCGGGAGAGGATCGAGTTTCTCAACGAGGCCTCAGTCATGAAGGGCTTCACCTGTCATCACGTGGTGAGTCCTGCCTTTGCCCCGAAGCGGACAGAGGTGTCCTTTCGTGCCTGCTCCCTTGTCCCCCCCTCCTCCGTCCTTCCTCCTCCTCCCGCACGAAGCAGGAGGACTCTAGGTGTGGACCCCCGGCCTGTCCCCCACTCTGCTAAGCACCCTAAAGGTGTCGGGGAGGCTCCGTCCCTTCTCCCTTCTCGAATCCTGTCCTCTCCCCCCCTTGCACGGAGCCGGACTCCTTCCTTTGCCTTCCACAATCTTCTGTCTCTTCCCTCTTCCTGGCCCCTTTGTAACCCTGAAATATGCAATGGATGGTTCGCTCCATCCCTGTCCCCCCTCCTGAGTCAGCCCAGACTCTTCCCATGCTGCTGCTCCCACGTGGCCCCACAGCTTCTCCTTGAGCCTTGTGTCCTTTCTTCCCTGCCATGCGTGGCTGAGGGGATCTGCTCTGTGCTGAGCCCCAGTCTTGTCTCTTCGGTGCAGCAGATTCCTGCCCTCTTACGGAGTTTCCAGGACAGCCGTGGACACAGACCCTAAACCCAATAAGTTCCTCATGGAGGACGTTAGGAGCCGATGCTGTGGCAGGATGGAACAAGAGAGCACAGTCAGGGGCTGGGCATTTGGGAGTGGGGAAGGTGTCGTAAGGACGGAGGGACTGAGCCATGTGGACATGGCAGGGAACAGAGGGCCTGGCAGAGGGAACAGCAAGTGCAAAGCCTTGGACGTGGGAATGTGCCTTATGTGCTCAGGGCCCCCGAGGAGATCTCCAAGGGTCTGCCTCGGAGTGTTGCTGTGTGGGGGCATGTCCCTCTGCTCCCCCACCCCACCAGACTGTGACTCCTGAATTCTCCCTCCCTCACCCGACCCTCCTGTCCCCACAAGGCACTGACCCTGGCATTTGAGCTAGACAGACCAGGGCTCCCCACACAGGGTGCTGTGTGTGATGCAGACATCAGACGGGGAGACCTTGGTGATGGAAACCTTCCCACCGACCCTCACCCAATATTGCACCCTGCTTGCTCCGCAGGTCCGCCTCCTGGGGGTGGTGTCCAAAGGCCAGCCAACGCTGGTGGTGATGGAGCTGATGGCTCACGGCGACCTGAAGAGCTACCTCCGCTCCCTGCGGCCGGAGGCTGAGGTGAGCTGGTTCTGGGGACCCGGCAGGGCGCCTGCCCCCAGCCGCGGGCACCCGGGTCCCTCAACGCCACCCCCTGTTTCGACTTCAGAATAACCCTGGCCGCCCTCCCCCTACCCTGCAAGAGATGATTCAGATGGCGGCGGAGATTGCCGACGGGATGGCCTACCTGAATGCCAAGAAGTTTGTGCACCGAGATCTCGCAGCCCGAAACTGCATGGTCGCCCACGATTTCACTGTCAAAATTGGAGGTGCGTCTGGCCTTCTGCTTGGAACTGTGTGGCCCGGGCCCAGTTTGATTGCAGAAGGACTTGTCTGGCCTGAGCAGTCGAGTCTTCGCCAATAGCGCAAAGAGGGCCCGGTCCTCAGACTGTAATTTAATTGCATTTGCTCGTGAGCTTGGTCACTTCCTGCTCTGGATGACAGTGGTGTTCCCTGTTGGCAGAAGCCACTGCACTAGGAGCTGACAGATGGGACTGACGATGGATAGGTCACCATGATTTTCCTGCCCTCATGCAGCACGCGGTCTTCATCTGCATCACCCGCTGCGGTAGCAGCCATTTACGTTCAAGTTAACTGAAATTAACTAGAATTAAAAACGTATTCCCTTGGCTGCACTGGCCACATTGTAAGTGAGCAGTCGCCACCTTGAGCCTGGTGGCTGCCATATTGGGTAGTGTGGTGTAGACCGCGTTCATGATCCCGGCAAGTTCTACTGGACAGGGCTATTGAAAGGCGAACAGTAAAATCGTGCTTGTATGAACAAGAGAAGGAAGGCTGGGGAAAGAGCCCAGGTGATGGTGATGGAAACCTTCCCACCGACCCTCACCCACGATTGCGCCGTGCTTGCTCCGCAGGTCCGCCTCCTGGGGGTGGCAGCCTTTTGGCCAAAACTTGCAGGATGGGTTGACCTGAATGAATGACAGCCTCCCAGGGGGCGTTCCAGCATATGCAAAGGCCTGAGGCTGGAAGCATGGCTGATGTGGGGTGAATAGAAGGAACAGGGAGGGAAGCAGAGTGGCATGAGATGTGAGGTTAGAGAGAGAAGCGGGAGCCAGACCTGGAAGGATCTTATTAGTCAATAAGTCATCTAGCCGTTATCCTAAGGAGCCAGCGCGGAGCCAGAAGTAACGTGATTCTATTTATGATCCCAGACGACATTATCAGCAAGGGAAGCCAGAAGGGATGTCATCCCATTTATAATCCAACAAAGACCTTATCCTCCATTAGCCATGGGAAGCAAGATATAATGTGATCCTATTTATGTAGCTTCTCTTGGGCAGTGGGCTGTCAGAGTCAGGATGGAGGGAAGGTCCTGCAGGTGAGAGATGGCGGTGGGGCTGGAGTGACGGAGAGGAAGAGTTGGGTTAGAGCGGGATGTGGAAGGAGAGCCGGCAGGACTCGCCGCTGTCTTAGATGTGGGTACGAGGAAAGGGGCGTGGTCAAAAGGGGACCTGCCCCTGGGTTTTGAGCCGGGCAGCTGGGTAGCGGTGGGGCCATACCTAGTGGAGAAGAGGAGGTTGGCTGCAGAGACTCAACTCTTTGGTTTGGGATGCCTGCAAGGTCATGGGTGGGAAGGAAGTGTTGCTGAGAATGGGATTCCCAGCTTGTGGGCTGGAACGTCGCTTCTTTGCCACTTGGTGCTGCCTTTTCCTTCCCTTTACATGGTGGCCCATGCTTTCCCTCCACATCCCCATGAGTACCCTCAGAATCCATCCTCACGGGATTTGGCCACCACCAAGGTGAGCACACACCTGGGGCAGCTGAGCCCATCTGAGGGCTCTACAAGGCAAGATGGGGCAAGATGGAGACAGCTGGACTGTAGGCTGAAGGTTAAGACCATGTGAACCCTTGGTTGTCAGATTTTGGGATGACCAGAGACATCTATGAAACGGATTACTACCGGAAAGGAGGCAAGGGTCTGCTCCCCGTGCGGTGGATGGCACCGGAATCCCTGAAGGACGGGGTCTTTACCACTTCTTCTGACATGTGGTGAGTGGTGCGTGGATTGGCGGACAGAGTGCTGGGCTCGAATCCCAGGGCATTCCCTTAGTGTGACCAGCAAGAGGGGGCCAGTTAAAACATGCCTTCCTCACAGCCCCTTGATCAAGAAAGTGAAGGGGAGGACCCTTGCATGGCTACTCACGTTCCGACTGAGACTCATCTAGGCATTTCTGAACGCAGCATGAATTGTTTAACGAACTGGCCAGCCACGTGGCGTTCTAGTAAACCAAGGAGGGGTGCATGTGTGTGTGCGTGTGTGTATTTTTATGGCTCCTTTGTTACTACTTTCAACTGTCGTTGGCAGGTCCTTCGGCGTGGTCCTTTGGGAAATCACCAGCTTGGCAGAACAGCCTTACCAAGGCCTGTCTAATGAACAGGTGTTGAAATTTGTCATGGATGGAGGGTATCTGGATCAACCCGACAATTGTCCAGAGAGAGTGTAAGTGTAGAAAGACTAGGTGGTGTGTGGGCTCTCCATCAAAAAGGCACTGCCCTTTGGTTTGCATGTCGTATGTCTACACGTGTGTGCTTGTGTTTGCATGTTGTGTCTTCGCATGGACGCTTTTTTTGCGCATCACATCTACATACATGCTTGTGTTTGCATGCCGTGTCTTTACACATATGCTTTCTTGCATATCATGTCTGTGGAAGGTTGTAGAAAACCCCTACAGCAATGCTTACCACGGGAGAAGGAAACTGGGTAGCTGGGGTGGGATATTTATGTTTAACTGTTGGTTCTTTATATGCTTAACATTTTGTTAGGGAATGAATATAATCTGACATGTCCATTATATCTCAACAGAGTTGGGAAAAAAAGAAATCAGAAGCAGAAACATTAAAATTATGTTTTGGTCAGGGATATGTGTTACCTATCTCCCGCTCCCCCAGTTTTTGTTGTAAATTTTGGTCATAGAAAAAATAAGGGGCGCCTGGGTGGCTCAGTCGGTTAAGCGTCTGCCTTCAACTCAGGTCGTGATCCTGGGGTCCTGGGATCGAGCGCCGCCATTGGGCTCCCTGCTCAGCGCAGAACCTGCTTCTTTCTCCCCCTCTGCCCCTCCCCCAGCTCATGCTCTCTCTCTTGTTTGCTCGTGCTCTCTCTCTCTCAAATTAATAAATAAAATCTTTAAAAAAAACTATTAAAAAATAAAAAATAAAATGGCATAGCAATTGAAATTTTAAATGATGCTTATAAAATATTTTATAACTTGGTGGATAAACCTATGTTAAAATATTAAATATAAAAAGTGTCTATACATCACATTACCAAATATCTTTAGATAGGAAAGATAAGAGGTTAGATCTGAAGGAGAGTTGTATGCAGACTGCAGTTTCTCTATGTTCTGGGGTGTTTCCTTTCTGCCATGAGCTTGTTTACATATAAAGTCCTTTATCAGTGTTTCTTAAGAAAAAAGTTTGCCCGGGGCGCCTGGGTGGCTCAGTTGGTTAGGCGACTGCCTTCGGCTCAGGTCATGATCCTGGAGTCCCGGGATCGAGTCCCGCATCGGGCTTCCTGCTCAGCAGGGAGCCTGCTTCTCCCTCTGACCCTCCCCCCTCTCATGTACTCTCTCTCTCTAATTCTCTCTCTCTCAAATAAATAAATAAAATCTTTAAAAAAAAAAAAAGAAAAAAGTTTGCCCTCCTGAAAAATCCAGGGGGAAAGGCCAATCTGAGGCTTCATCCCCCAAAGAATAAGACTGTTCATTTAGAAAACACAATTGGAAGGGACCTCATATGAAAAAGAGTATGAAGCAGAGTTACTTAGAAACTGTGAGCAAAGTATTTCTGAATGGTGCTTCGCGAGAGTCCTTTCCTGGCCATTAGCAGCTTGCTGGACCGTTCCAGGACCAGGGAGATCAGGTAGGCCCTAGGGCAGAGGGCCACACACTTTCTATAAAGGGCCGTATTGTAAATATTCTGAGCTTTGTGGGCCCTGTGGCTCTCTGCTGCGGCTACCCAACTTTGTTGTGTAGACTGAAGGCAGCCGTGAACAGTGCATAAGTGAGGACGTGTGGAGACACTTCAGGGGGCCGGATTTGGTAGTTACAGTGGGGAGAGGAAGAGGTAAAAGAGAAACCCCAAGCCCTCAGCACTTGTACTGTGTGTTCTTGGCTGAGTCGGGTTGTAACCCCCTGCTACCAGCTTGGAGAGCGTGAGCGCCAGGCCCGCAGGATGGCTGCTCAGAGCTGGCCCTCTAGGTTCAGTCCACTCAGCTGCCCCATCAGGCCTCAAGCATCTCAACCCTGAAGGATCTTTGACCCTAGAAAGATTGCTTCTTGGCACAGGGAAGCCTTTCAAGCAGCCCCAGTAGGAATTAAACTTTATGAAATGCACCAAACGGGAGGAAAAGAAATCAGGAATGTATAAAATGCTCAACCTTGTCCAACATGTAGGTGCATCAAGAGGGGCCCTTCTTTTTTTTTTTTTTTTTGCATGGTAATTTTTTTTTTAATTCTTATGTTAATCCCCATACATTACATCATTAGTTTTAGATGTAGTGTTCCATGATTCATTGTTTGTGCA